ACCAAGGAGCGAATGGTGAGCTTGAACCACTGACCTTGTTACTCAAACCAACTTTACAGTCCACCATAGCACCACACCAGGACTCCATGTCCTTCAATACTGCCGCTCGAGACTCAAAAGTTCTATTCAGTTCTTTCAACTTTAGAAATGCTGAGCGTGTTCTTCAGAGCAACTAGTTTGAAAGTTGGGAAGAACTTAATAGATTCTAAATATAACTGAAAAAATTTAAAAGTAGAAGGATATGTCTATTACTCAGGAATATGAAAACAATCATTAGAAGAAATATCTTAAAGATCTTGAAAGTGTTTATTCTAGGGACCAGGAATCAGGGATAGTAAGTACTATATTGGAAGCAGCTGTTTTGCTTTTAAAGACTTACGAAATTATTTGATTTCAAACTATGTATGATTAAAGATTTATTTTGCTAAAGATAATTTAGAAACAGCTGCAACAATATATTGACAGGGAACAGCCAGAGGTTAAAACCTATTCAAATGATTTGGAACAAGGGATATCATTGCTGACATCAAATAGATCTTGGCTGAAAGCAGAGAATACCAGAAGGTTGTTTGCTATTGTTATTAAGTGCTGTCTAGTCGGTTCGACTCATAGCAAACCTGTATAGGGTTTCTAAGGAGTAGCCGTGAGTTTGAGTTGCCGTCCTTGTGGTTCAATTAGACCTTGCAGTCTAGTGCTTATTAAACAGCACTATACCAGGACTCTGTTGTTATTATTAGTAATTGATTACATTATTAATTTATATTGTATCAAGTTAATAGTATTCTAATTAATAATTATAATATTGTATATATTGAAGTAATATTGCTTTATTATTAGGACTAGGAAATTATTAGGAGACTTCACTTGAACCCATCTGTTCAGAGGAATTGAGGTTCTTTAAAGTTGTTGATTTCAGAATGGAAGTCTTAGTTTTGCCAGAGAAGGGGCATTCATTTCTAATCACACAAAAACTAAACACAGCATCATGTGCCAAGACGGGATCTATATGGTTAAATTGATTTTCTTATATTGTTCAGGTTTTTGTTTGCTTGTTTTCCTAAAATTAGCAATTTATTCATGAATTCAACCACTACTTATCAAATGTTTTCTAATCACTGGGCTCTTTTCCAGAAACTGTGGCAGAGCTGAACAAAAGACAAATTTCTTGCCCTCTTGAAATTTATAACCTAGGCTGGGTAAGACAGAACGCCAAAGAAGAGGTGGTGGTGGTGGTTATGTGCCCTGTAGAGTCAATTCCTAATCATAGTGACTCTGCATAGGGTTTCTAAGCCTATAAACCTTTAGGGGAGCAGAAAGCCTTCTCTTTCTCCTATGGAACCGCTGGCAGTTTTGAACTGCTGACCTTGAAATTAGCAGCCTGACTTGTAACCACTATGCTACCAGAGCTCTTTAAATAAGAGGTAAAAAACTAAAAAAACCCTCAGTTGCCATGGAGTCCATTCTGATTTATGGTGACCCCTTGTGTGTCAGAGTAGAACTGTGCACCACAGAGCTGTCAGCAGCTGGCTTTTGTGAAGTAAATTGTTGTTGTTAAATCCCTTCAAGTTGGTTCCAACTCATAGCGACCCTGTGTAGAGGTTCTGAGGAGCAGCTAGTGAGCTTGGACTGCCAACCTTGCGGTTCAAACAGACCTTTCAGTCCAGCGCATTAACCTGCTGCACCATTTTTCTGAGGGACTTTTGGATGCATTGGAACCCTGAATCTTTTGGTTAGCAATTGAGTGTGTTAACTGTTTGTATCACTCCAGGACTCATGAAATACATCGGAGGGTTAATAATTGCAGTGAAGAAAATAAAGTAGGATATGGGGAAAGAAAGAGCTGGAGGGAAGTAGCAGATTGCTAACTACTTACTGATATCCATTCTTCCCTCTTCTTTTTGTTTCTGTTTTGTTATAGAATCCTTGTCACTTGATGTGGCCGTGTATCTAAATCCTGGTCAATGGGAGACTAGTGCCAATGCATTTGTGACCTCCTATAAATGAGTCGTGGTGTGGCTAAGCACTGCACCACTAACCATGAGGCTGACGGCTCAAACCCACCGGCTGCTTCTTGGAAACCCTATACAAGGTCACTATGAGTCTAAACTGCCCTGATAACACTTTACAATCACATTTATAAATGATCTTAAATTGGGCCAGGAGTTATTTCCTTCTTTGT